GAGCTGCTATCTTTTTTTTTTTTTGAGACAGAGCCTCACTTCGTCGCCCTGGGTAGAGTGCAGTGGCATCATCAAAGCTCATTGCAACCTCAAATTCCTGGGCTCAAACCATCCTCCTCTGCCTCAGCCTCCTGAGTAGCTGGGACTACAGGTGCACACCACCACGCTTGGCTAATTTTTTCTTTTTGGTAGAGATGGGATCTCGCTCTTGCTCAGGCTGGTCTCAAACTCCTGACCTCAAGTGATCCTCCTGCCTTGGCCTCCCAGAGTCTAGGATTACAGGCCTGAGCCAACATGCCCAGCCTAAGCTGCTAGTTTTTAAAAGATTTAAATAGAAGCTTAGTATTAATATCTAGCATTCACTGTTTCCTGGGCCATGTCTATTTTATTTTTTTTGAGAAATGTTCTTGCTTTGTTACCCAGGCTGGGGTGCAGTGGTGTAATCATAGCTCACTACACCCTCAAACTCCTGGGCTCAAGTGATCCTCCTGCCTTAGCCTCCTGAGTAGCTAGGACTATACGCATGTGCTGCCACACTTAGCTGATTTTTATTTTTTGTAGAGACAGAGTTCTCACTATGTTGCCCAAACTGGTCTTGAACTCCTGGCCTCAAGCAATCCTCCTGCTTCTGCTTCTTGAAGTACTGGGATTACAGGGTCAGCCACACCTGGCTCTGGGCCATGTTTTTAAATAGACCATTTCTGATCCCAAATTACCTGAGTACCGGAATACTTAAGGCAACATTGTAAAATCCATTTTATACTTTGAAAATAATGCACTGGCTATAGGGCAGTTTTTTTCAAAGTTAAGGCTAGGCATATTGATTTTAGAAACTCCTCCATTTTTTTATGGTACCCTACCTCATATTTAGCCCAGCTCTCCTCACCTCTCTTGGAAGTTGCATTCTATTCCCTCTTTTCACAAAGTAGTCAGATGGGAAATGTGGATTTTTTTTGTTTTGCTTTTAAAGTCTGAATTTTTTGTCCTGAATTACTTACATGACAGTGTTTTAAACTGTTAATAAGGCTTGCTGTCTTTATTAAATTTAAAGCATTACTTTTTAAAACTAAAAACTGAAAGTCTCACATTGTTTTCTGTATTAGTGTAGAAAAATACATACCATTTAAAAAAAGAGAGAGAAGGAAAGGGTATAAAATGAAAAATCTCCCTCTTATTTCTAAGTCCTACTCCCTCTTCCCAGAGGTAGTTGGACTATGCTTTCAGAGATATTATATGCATATCTAGCCTGTATTCTCCAATCAGAGCATTCTACAGAGTTCTGTATCTTACTTTTATTTAACATATCAGAGATTGATCCTAATAGCATACAGAGCTATACCTATATTTTCACATTATTTACAGAATGACAGAAATTTTCATTATTATGTAATCACATTTACTAATCTTTCTATTATGGTTTCTGAATTTTTAAAAATCTTGCTTAGGGAAACTTCCTTATTCTGAAACTATAAAAACCATTATGCTGTTTTCTGCTAGTACTTTTATGGGTTTGTCTTTTACACTAAAAATCTTGGAATCTACCTGAACCTGAAATTTTTTATGTTCTAAGGAGTTAGAAAAGAACCCAACTTCATCACAAAAACTATTTCTTTTCTCATGTTAAAACTGAAAATGTTATTTTACAAATACTCCCCAATTTTTCCAATAGAGAATTTTACATTCTACTGTTACTATAAATATCCAAGAAATAATTATCATAAAATATTTTCATAACATTGTAATTTCCCAAAACATGTTAATTTTATCTGTACCTATAACCAGTATGGATATAGTTTTGAACTGTGTTCAACTACTGACCACAGTAAGTTCATACAGGAATTGCTTGTAAGGATTTTATCGCAACACAGTGGTTGATAATTGAGTTTAAAAGCTTAGGTTTTCACGTTGTCTTATGTATGAATCTTATTGCAATATATAAGAAATAATTTTCTATACTTATACAGATTGAACAATTCCACTGAGAAATTAGTTGTATCTTTAATAGGTTAAATAGGAACTATGAATAGATAAAAGTACTATATAATAAGCTGAGGGCCACAGACATCTCCAACTGATTTTCTCATTTGGAAGAATACATAAACTTTATTTCCTTTAAAAGTATAGGCCTTCTCAATAAAAAATTAAAAAGTCCTCCAGGAGGAAATGTTTAAATTGAAACCTAAAGGGTGAGAAGAGCAGACAAAGGAGGCTACTTGTCCCAAGATTTGAAAGGCAACTAGTTGCAGAAGCATAAATCCTGAATGTGAACACTCATTTCTAAACTGGGGTTTGGTTGGGGGCGGGTGGGGAACAGGAGGGCAGCAGGAGCAGGAGGTGTACTGATTTTCTCCCATACTTTTGTTTCCCCTATTTTTTTTCCAAAGTAAATTTTCTTCCTACATGATTATTTATTTAATTTTTTAGAGACAAGGTCTTACTCTGTCACCTAGGCTGGAGTGCAGTGGCATCGTCATAGCTCACGGCAGCCTTGACCTCCTGGGCTCAAGCCATTCTCTGGCCTCAGCCTCCTAAGTAGCTGGGACTACAGGCCTACACCACCATGTGGGGCTAATTTTCTTTTTTGTAGAGACAGGGTCTTGCTATGTTGCCCAGGCTGGTATTGGCCTCCCAGAATGCTGGGATTACAGGTGTGAGCCACTGTGCCTGGCCTTCCCAGGTGATTTTTTTTTAAAAAGGTTTAAATGTCCTAATACTATAGCCAGGCAATCACAGCCTATTATAAAAGTTCTTGTCCTTGGCCACAGAATTCTGTTATTAAAATAAATATTTCTTACTGTGACACAAAGGCACTTATGTTTAGAAAAGGCATCTATCTTGCCTAAATTCCATGTTTCACATTTTTAAAGATTTATATTAGTGTCAAGTTTATTTTTAGGTAGGACTGTGGTGTTGAATTTCCTGTACAAAAGTAAAGTTGGCGCTGTTTCAAAGAGTAGCTTTGTTCTGCTTGCCTGTGGCTAATATTTGTACTACTAGAAGGCAGCAGATTAGAAAACTTGGCAAGGCATTTCTTCTTCTATACTGGTCCTTCAAACTGAGCTTTTTTGGTCAAACATATGGCTTACTTATGAAGAAGACAGAATTAGAATCAGTATTAAACTTACTTTAAAGATCAAACCTATAACCCAGAACCTCGAAACATTAGGCCATAAGCACAAATATTATCTTGAAATTTCTTCTTTATAAACACATTTACCAAACAAAGAAAAAAACATAAAATGTTCA